TTTGCGGAGTTCCACGTGGCTGACTAAAAATCATACACGAATGCAATTTATATCGTTTGAAAGTGTGAATCTTTATCTTTGTCTTTTTTATGAAGTCAGAAGTATCATACACGATTCTTTTTACCAAGTTATTCAACGTTGAAGCAAAAATGGCCTTTTTGTTTGAACGTTGATTAACTCGTTGAAAAGAAATCGTACAGAGTAAGGTAAAAAAGCAAATCAAGGATAAAGATTCATTCTTTCGAAAGTTGTAAACCGCATTTGTGCACGATTTTTAGTTCATGCTTCGGAAATTCTCAAATTTCATTAAAAATTTGTTGGTTTGCTGTACTTTATTTATGTTTGTTAAACTTCACGAAATATCAGTAAAGTCATTTTTTGGAGTATCGGTCTGAAAAGTAGAGACAAAAAAATCTTTAAAATGCTTTTTTATCAAAAAATTTTTTTTCTCAAATTTCGTTAAAAATTTGTTGGTTTGCTGTGCTTTTATTTTTGTTTATATTATAACTTCTCGATATATCAGTAAAATCATTTTTTGAAATTATTTTATTTTGAAGTTTGACTATTTTTGTACATTGAAACAGGTGTAGTGTTAATTTTGTTGCGCAGTGTAAATCAATATGTGTAAAGTGTATGAGTTCCATTGATATCTTAAGTACATTTCAATTACATTTAATTAAATTGTTTAATTACAGATCGTTCATCTAGATGGGGTATTGGCTCGGCCTCCTAAATTTGCGCATTTTAATAATGGTAATGTGTCATATGAGTTACATATTTCTTCAAACACTGTAGTTTCGAATTTGGGCAAATATGACCTCGTTGTTACATCAAATTTGCAACCAGTACGTGTAGAATTTCCTGATGTCGTAAATACTTCAATACCAGTTGGTACGTTTTTTATTATATACAGAAGTAGAAAATGTTTTCAAATTGCATCTCCTTTAAAATCTATTTTTTACTTTTTACTACCTTTTACTATCGGTTGTTTTACTTCTTGTTATGTTTTGTCGTTTTTTGTTAGGAACATATTTTATAAAATATAATATTTTGTAGTTTTAGTTGGATATGTGAAGACAAACTTCAAACCTATTCTTCATAATCAATTGAACAAAGTGATAGGTTGTGGTTCCTTGACCGATGGGGAGCGTAAACTTTTTGTACATATTATGAATTTTGATGACAGTGAATATCGTTCTCTTGGTCTGACAAAGGGCGATAAATTAGAAATGATTGGTGCGATGCAATCAGGTAAATGTTTTTATAATTAATATAATATTTAAAAAAATGTGAGAAGGTACATAATAATGTTAATGTTAATATTAATAGTTATATTATATTTTCAGTTATTAGTCATTTCCAGGAATAAAAGCAATAGTTTAAAAAGATGTAAGAAAATGAGAAAGAGAAATGAAAAGAAATAAGAAGAGAAATAAAGGATAAATAAGGATAATGATATTGAAAGAAAAAACTGTAGGAAAACAGGTACGAAAAGAAGCATACCTAATATTAATGGATAAAAATAAAGAATTTGAAACTGAAGGAAAACAGGTATGAGAAGATACACAATGTTAATGTTAATATTAATAGTTATACTTTATTTTCAGTTATTAGTGATTTTGATAAAAAGAAAGGGATTAAACAGATAGGAAAAGTCAATGAAATAGGAAAGCAATTGTTTAAATAGACGCAAAGAAGTGGATGATGAGAATATAATTGAAAAGAAATGAGAAGAGAAAGGAAAGATATGCAAGGACGATGTTTGAAAGAGAAAACTGTAGGGAAATAGGTACGAAAGAAGGTATAATGTTAATGGAGGAAAATAAAGAAATTGAAACTAAAGGAAAACAGGTATGAGAAATTACATAATATTAATACTAATAGCAGTATTTTATTTTTAATCATAAGTGATTTTCATGAAAAGGAAAATGTTATAACAAGAGAAGGATTGAATAGAAAGGAAGAGGCAAGGAATATAAAAGTAATGATTTAAAATAGAAAAGTAATGATTTAAAGAGGAGTAAAAACAAGGATGACGAGAAAAAGAAATGAAAGGAGATAACAAGCGAAGGAAAGAATAAGTAAGGAAGATAAATAAAAGAAAAATGTGAAGGAAAACGGGGTATTAAAGGAAGCATAATGTTAATGGATCAAGATATGTTTTGTAATTATATGAATCTTGCTTATGTAATGATATTATAATACGAATACGTTTTTTTCATTTATAGGAATTGCATGGAGTATATCTGTATACATTTCAATCAAAAAATAATATCAGTTTTATCAGTGCGTTTGTGACTATAGTGAATACTGTACAATTCGAAATTTTTAATGGGAAACGCAATTTTTCAATCCAGTTGCATCCGAATGAATCTAATTGGAATCCAATTGAATCCAAAAAAAAGTTTTCGCTGTTTAAAATACAAATTCAAATAGACAAATGTCCAATCCATATTAATCCATTCTTGGATGCTGGGGTGCAAACGCAATAAAATCAGAAAAGAGCACGAAGGTGCAAGACCATAGGAAGATTACAAAGCAAGAGGACATGAACGTAAGAGAAGAATGATTTCAGTAATCTATTTCCATTTTGACTATCACAAAAGATATTAATATGTCGTTTACATTCACTTCTTCAGAGAGTAGTTGTGCTCGTTGGCATTTGCTGGTACAAGTAACGACTCGTGTCGCAATTACTTGAACACCAGCACCGTTCCGTATATTATCTATATTACTATCAGCTTGTTCGTCAGTGTTAATGCGGTCGATGGTTCACAATACATTTGTCATGTAACAGAATCTATTGTCTGTGGAATCTATTAACAGTGGTTTAAATACAGGCAGAACGATGCGAGTGTTCCCTTGGTCTAGAAGGACCGAGATGTGAATTATTTATAGGTATTGACTTTTATGGAGATGATTGGGCTATAATGCCAACACCCGATCAAGTTTGCTACGACTTATATCTAGGTAGGTGTGATAAGTGATGAATTATTATACACAAAATAAATAGAATTATTTTACAAAATATACTTATTTTTTGCGGGTCGATCGTTTTGAAATATGTACTTCTGACCTCTGATTTTTTTAGTGATAAAACAAATAGGTAATATCAAATTGTATTAAAACTCAAATATTTTTGCGAATTTTGGCGCAACTGAGAAATATATAAACTTATTAATTTTAAGGTTGAGGGATAACCTGAAGATATTGATCAATTACGTGAAATTTTATTCAGATCATATTGAGGTCCATAGTTAACTTTTGGGGAGTATTTCTAATCGACTAAAAAAATTTTTTTTTTTACAAATCCTAATTTTTTATTGAATTGGATAAAAGTAATTGTGCTTTTTGTTGTGGCGATTGCGTTGCCACATTTTAATTTATTAGTTTTGAAATAACGACGACAACAGAGATAAATACACGCAAAATATTTACTGACAATAGAAGTTGCGAGAAAGACGCAACGGTCGAAAAGCAAGCGAGGTATGTGAGATACGGTCGATCAGCTGACGCTTATTGTTAGATACACAGTCGATCAGCTGACGCTTAGACACACAGTCGTTTTCGGAGAATTGTCTGGCGTATTCAGAGAACCGATATCTTTCCGCGAAAAGTCGACTGAGTAAGCAACCGCGAACTAATTATTATCGTTTTTGTAGTCGCGCGATTGTTGTTAATACATTTACGCTCTTACACGCTTGTAAAAGTACTTTTAATATATAGATGTATTATAATTTATTTTTTTGTGTTTATACTTTAATTTTGGTGACCTGACATTCCGCTGCCACGTCATTTCTTATTCCTGCGCTCCTTTATATCGTTACGGAGTTAAGAAAAGAAGGAAACAAAAAAGTGGTGTACCCGACGATTGAAACTTAAGAGCGCGAAAAACGGGAGCGCGGATAAAACGCGAGTGCGGAAAAGCGACGAAAGTGGGTGCGTGAGAGTATGAACGGAGAGATAACAGTCGTAACGCGTGAAGGAGAGGCATCCACGCAAGCGATGGAGGAAGAGCGCAGGCTGATCGAGCAACAGCGGCAACAGCTGGAGCGCGAAAAAAGAGAGTGGCAACAGCAACAGCTCGAGTGGACGCAGCGATCGGCATCTTCGACAGGAGTGCAAGCGGCAACAGAACAACCGGCAAGTTTGTTTTTATCAGGAGCAGAGGTGAGCCGTGTAGGCATGAGAATGCCGGAATTTACTCCAGCCGATCCGGAGCTGTGGTTCCACATTGTCGATCGCAGTTTTCAAGCCGCCGGGATTGCGGCGGACGCGACAAAATTCGGTTACGCGCTAACGGCAATAGGTCCGCGTTATACAATGGAGGTGCGCGACATTATTATAAATCCACCGGCGGAGCGCGCATATGAAATTTTAAAGGCCGAAGTAATAAAACGCCTAAGCCTGTCGCAGGAACATAAAACGCGCCGACTGTTAGAGCATGAAGAGATCGGAGATCGCAAGCCGTCGTAATTTTTGCGGCATCTTCGCGAGCTTGCCGGGAATGCAGTCGGAGGTGGCATATTACGTACGATTTGGTTAAGTCGATTGCCAGCATACATTCAGCCGCATTTAGTCGCGCGGACAGGCGATACCATCGAACAATTGGCGGACATCGCGGACGCTATCGTCGAAGCTACACGTGCTCCAGCGTTCCATGTCGCGGAGGCCGCTCGACCAATGCCCGTTCAAAGAACGGAGGATGCACTCGAGGCAAAATTTAATTTACAATTGACACAGTTGCGTCTGTCATTACAAAATGAAATGACAGAGCAATTAACAGCTATTAGAAAGGCGATTGAATCAATAGGAAGTGAGAGACCGGGAAGAGACCGCGGAGGATACAGACGTCGCGCACGTTCTCGACCGCGTTCGCGAAGTCGCGGAGGGCACGCATCCAATGGGTTGTGCTATTTCCATTGGAAATTTGGACCGGACGCAACTCGCTGCGAGCCGCCTTGCTCGGCGCAAGCGGGAAATGCGGTGGCCCACCGTTGATGGCGACGGATGAGGCGGGCCATGCGACACGTCGCCTGTTCGTGACGGATGCACGGACAAAGGTGAGGTTCCTCGTTGATACGGGAGCGGATCTATGTGTGTTCCCACGAAAAATGATTCGCGGTCCGCGACAGAAATCGATATACGAGTTATCAGCCGCGAACGGAACAGTAATCAACACATACGGAACAGAAACATTATCACTGAATCTCGGTTTAAGAAGGTCGTTCGTTTGGCGTTTCGTGGTCGCCGACGTGTCGAAACCAATAATCGGAGCTGACTTCTTGGCGCATTATGGACTCCTCGTTGATTTGAGAGGCGGTAAATTAGTCGATCAAGTCACGAGCTTGACGGTGCCCGGTCAGTGCATTTGCTGCAGCGTTCCGAGTATAAAAACTGTCGCGGGGGAAACACCGTATCATGTGTTAATGACGAAATACCCAGAGGTGACGCGACCGGAGGGACGACCAAGGGAAGTGAAACATGAGACGCGGCATTATATTGAGACGGCACCGGGACCGCCCATAGCAAGCAGACCACGAAGACTCGCGCCGGAGCGTTTAACGATAGCTCGAAAAGAATTTCAGACGATGGTCGAGCTTGGAGTCGCGCGGCCGTCAAAGAGCAGCTGGTCGTCACCGCTGCACCTCGTTCAAAAAAGGGCGAGGGATGGCGACCTTGTGGCGACTATCGGGCGTTAAACGCTCGAACAATACCTGATCGTTATCCTGTGCGCCACATTCAGGATTTCGCACAAGCTTTACAAGGAAAAAATATTTTTACGACAATTGACCTGGTGAGGGCGTACCACCAGATTCCGGTGGCTGAGGAAGATGTGCCGAAGACAGCAAGAACGACACCGTTCGGCATGTTCGAGTTCCCGTATATGTCTTTTGGTTTGCGGAACGCGGCGCAGACATTCCAAAGATTCATGGACGAGGTGCTGCGCGGACTTGATTTTTGTTATGTATACATTGATGACATTTTAGTTGCGTCGACGACTGGGGAAGAGCACCTGGAACATTTGGAAACATTGTTTAGGAGGCTGCAGAAATACGGCGTTGTAATCAATCCAACCAAATGCGTGTTTGGCCAGCCGAAGGTGGAGTTCCTCGGCTACCTGGTAGACAAGGATGGAACGAGGCCCTTACCTACACGAGTTCTAGCGATCAAGAATTACGGAGTGCCAAGGACTGCAAAGGATCTGCGTAGGTATCTCGGCATGTTGAATTTTTATAGAAGATTCTTGCCGGGAGCTGCTGAGATGTTGGCGCCGCTTCATGACCTCCTGCATGACAATATCAAAGGAAAAACGCCGGTGGCATGGACTTCGCAGGCTCAGCAGGCGTTTGAAGCATCCAAGGAGAGCCTGGCGCAGGCGACCTTGCTGGCGCACCCGAGGATCGACGCCGAGTTAGCGTTGTTCACTGACGCGTTCGATCATAGCGTCGGAGCGACGTTGCAACAACGAGGCGACAATGGCTGGGAGCCCTTGGCTTTCTTTTCAAAAAAGCTAAGTGCGGCTGAATCAAAATACAGCGCCTTTGATAGGGAGCTGTTGGCCATGTACCTGGCGGTTAAACATTTCCAGCACATGTTGGAGGCACGAGCATTCGCAATTTACACTGACCACAAACCTCTGACGTTCGCTTTTAGGAGAAAGCCAGAGAAGTGTACGCCACGCCAGTTTCGCAATTTAGATTTTATTGGCCAGTTCACGACGAATATACGGCACGTATCCGGCAATGACAATGTCGTAGCGGATGCGTTGTCCAGAGTAGAAGAATTACAGACGCCGTTAGACTTCGCTGCGCTCGCGGACTCGCAAGAGAGCGACGAGGAGCTCCAAAAGTACATAGATGACGAATCAGTCTTGAGGATAAAGAAGATTGAGGTTCCTGGGACTGGAGTAGCGGTATATTGTGATACGACGACGGCGGTTCCGCGTCCGTTTGTGACGAGGCCTTTCCGCCGAGCAGCATTTAATTTAGTGCATAATTTAGCTCATCCGGGCATCAAAGCGACGGGTAAACTCGTGGCGCAGCGCTTCGTTTGGCCGTCGATGCGAGTGGACTGTCGAGACTGGGCGCGTGCATGTGTACCATGCCAAAAATCAAAGATTTCTCGCCACGTCTCAGCGCCGACGGGAGCATTTAACTTGTCTTCCGAGAGATTTGAGCATGTTCATTTGGATATTGTGATAATGCCGGTCTCAGAGGGGAGGCGATATTGCCTCACATGCGTGGACCGTTTTACACGTTGGCCGGAAGCATTTCCGATGGAGAACCAGGAAGCGGAGACCGTGGCGAGGACGTTCTACGAGGGCTGGATTTGCCGTTTCGGAGCGCCGGTGCGAATTACCACGGACCAGGGACGGCAGTTCGAGTCCTGTCTTTTTCGTCGGCTGAGCGAGCTGTCGGGAATTCGTCATCTGAGGACGACAGCTTATCATCCGCAGGCAAACGGCATGGTGGAGCGACTTCATCGCCAATTCAAGGCGGCGATAAAATGCCGCGAGAGTGACCGGTGGACGGAGGAGCTATCCACTGTCTTATTGGGCATTCGAGCAGCCTGGAGAGAGGATCTGAAAGCGACCACGGCGGATCTGGTATACGGACAGTCGCTGCGACTTCCGGGCCAGTTCTTGGATCGTCAGCCGGCGGACGGAATGAACAATGCCGCCGATTTCGTGGCGGGGCTGCAGGACCATTTCGACAGGGTGCGTCCAGTCCAGGGAAGCAGGCACGGTGATCGGCAACCTTTCGTTTTCAAAGACTTGTCAACAGCAAAACACGTGTTCGTGCGCCGCGACGGTCCGAAGAGGCTATTGCAACAGCCTTATGAGGGACCGTATGCGGTTATTAAGAAGACGGATAAGGTGTTTGTCGTGCATATGCACGGTAAAGACTGCACGATATCCATAGACCGGGTAAAGCCAGCTTATATTCTTACAGATACTGACGAAAAAAGAGACGAAGCCTTGTTACAGCCAAGCAAGGATATTAACAGAGCGAGCAAGGACGACACGAATCAATTTATAAACACGCGCCAGACCCGGACAGAGCGAGGAGTGATGACGCGGTCCGGCCGGAGGGTGCGGTTCCCCGACAGGTTCGAGTAGCAGGCCGAGGGGAAAGGAGAAGATAAGATAAAGCGACTCCTTTGTTATCATTGTTTTGTTTTTTTGTATGGTATTAGTCCGCGAAAATTGTATATATTTTGTTACCGGACGATATTATTATAGATCAATTTTATCCTTTTTCGCTTTACATTTTGCATTTTATATTTTATATTTTATGTTCTATATTTTAGATTCTGTACACCTTATATTATATTTTATGACACTCGTTTGTCTTACGCGAGTAGAAAGGTATTTAAAAAGCGAACATAACGCAGCGATATTTTGCTTTATTTATTTGCACGTGTTATTTATTATATTTATTATATTTATTGTATTTAGTGCATTCTATAGCGACCTGTTTCGTGATGTAAGTACATCACTAGCAGGGGGGTGCTGTGGCGATTGCGTTGCCACATTTTAATTTATTAGTTTTGAAATAACGACGACAACAGAGATAAATACACGCAAAATATTTACTGACAATAGAAGTTGCGAGAAAGACGCAACGGTCGAAAAGCAAGCGAGGTATGTGAGATACGGTCGATCAGCTGACGCTTATTGTTAGATACACAGTCGATCAGCTGACGCTTAGACACACAGTCGTTTTCGGAGAATTGTCT